TGTTGGGGAGATCTTTGAGTACCACTTAAATGTCATTCATTTACAGACCAGGGCACTGGCTCGTGCCTATAAGCCCAGCACTATGGGAGGCCAAGGCAGGCAGATCAACTGAGGCCAGGAGTTCAAGACCAGCTTGGCCAATATGGGGAAACCCCCGCCTCTACTAAAAATATAAAAATTAGCTGGGCATGGTGGTGCATGCCTGTGGTCCTAGCTAATCAGCAGGCTGAGGCACAGGAATTGCTTGAACCTGGGATGTGGAGACTGCAGTGTGCTGAGATCATGGCACTGCACTCCAGCCTGGGCAACAGGGTAAGACCCTGTCACAAAATAAAAATAAAATAGAATAAAATTAAAAAATAAATAAATAAATGGAAATCATCTACTATTTTATCATGTTCCTTGCCTGCCCTTCCCCACCCCACCACCTTACCTCTGGTCAACCTCCTTCTGAAGTTCACGACTGCGTTCTTCTAACTGCTGTTGAAGCCGCTTTCGCTGCTGCTCTGGGGGCAAATGGCTAAAATCCTCGGTCACCACTGTCTGCAAGGTGGGTAGAGGGCTGAATTTGGGATCAAGGAGTCTAGGCTGCCAGACTCTGCACCCTTCTGAGATATTTCACTTCCTTCCCCAGCCATGGTTCTTGGCAGCGAGGCCATGCACAAAGCAAAGCGGGTCTGGGTTGGGCAACCAGGGAAGAGGGGCCCAGCCAGCGGCAGGAAGCGAGCCCAGGGTCCCGCCACCCGCCGCTGGGCAGGCTAGGGCCACCACCTTCTCCTGCCCCGAGGCCTCACTTACCCCACGGCTGCCTCGAAGGCTGCGGAAGGATGCTAGCCTCGGTTTGACCGACTTACTGATCTCGCTCAGTATGGCCAAGGGGTCACGGCCGGAGCGGGGGGACGGGGGTCCGTTAGGCAATGCCGAGGGTACGGGACCCCCCAGGGGGGAGAGGTTATACACATCTAGATGTGTATAAGAGACAGGGGATAGGTTGAAGGGGTGGGGGGGTGTAGGAGGATGTAGAGAATGAGGACGAATGGACGGAGGGATGGATGCACGGATGGACGGATGGACGCGAAAAGAAAAAAGGAAAAACAAAATGGAGAAAGAAAAAAACGGTAAGAAAACCACAACTCAAGATACACAATCACACAGAGAAAACGCATGCAGGAGTGACACAAAAACATCTGGAAGGTGGCGGGGAGGACGTTGAACTGTAAGCCCGAAAGCCAGAACTCTCACACCCCCGGTATCTCCTAGGTCTCTGGAATGTTATGTCCGGGAGCAAGCATGGGTCCAGGAGGCAGGGAGGCCCATGTCTCTCTGTCCACTTAGCTTTCTGGGCTGACAGTCTAGAAGACGCATGCAGGAATCGAGGTCTCAGACAGGTGTGAGGCCACGGAGGACACAAAAGATAAACGAAAATAAAACCACAAGCTGAGAGGGAGTGGAAGGCAGGAAAATGAGAGGGGTTAGCGGCGTCAGAGGTTTAAGCTCGGGGATCGCAGGTGGAAGTCAAGGAGAGGTATGAGAGTGTAAGTCAAGAGGGACCCAGAGTATAAATCAAAGGTATAAACCAAGGGTGCTAAGGTACATTAAAACCCAAAAACCCAAGAAAGCAGGACGTGCAGGGTGGCTCCCGGAGTCCCATCAGCAGGATGGAGAGAGAAACTCGGGGAGTCCCCAGGGATGGTGTCACCAGCCCTCAGGCCAGCTCTGAATTCCACCAGCAGGTTTTCTCCCAGCATCCCGAGAAGCAGCAGACAAACGCCACAGACCTCCCCACCCTGCCCCCGCCTTCGCCTCGGGGGACTCCCAGGCCAAGCGGCCCGCCCGCCTTCCTTCCCTCCAGCCCGGGCTGGCAGCCAAGAGGAAAATTCCTGCCCGGGACTCGGCGTTCAGGCGGCTGGGGCTGACTCAATAGGGGCCCCACTGTCCCCACCTCACTGTCCTTCTCCCCCACCATCCCAAGGGTCCCGGCCCCCACCTTGTTCTTCTTGCCAAAGGGCCAGCGCTTGGTGCGGATGCGGCCTGGGCCTCGGAGCTCCGGACGTCCTTCCGAGGGGGTGCCCAGACTGCTGTCCGAGGGTGCACGGTTCATGGGCTGGCTGAAGTCCTCGAATTCCACGTCGCCCGGGCGGGCAAAACCTGACTTGTGCAGCTCTATAAGGACTTGGGAGTCCTGGGGGAGGGGGACAGTGGATGAGTAGTCAAGTGACCAGCGTATGGGGACTTCCCTCCGCCCTTCCCATGGCCCACTGGACCCAGACCAGGCACCCACGTTCTTGGGATCCACAGCATTTGCAGCCACCTTCATGCCCTCCAAGCACTTGGCAATGATGGGCACCACCTCCAGCTCGGCCTCCGACAGGAGCCCATACCCGGCACCCAGGCGGGTGGCCCTGCGTTCATCCATGTCTTGGAGCTTCTGTAGGGACGGGGACAAGGGTGGCTCAGGGGTGCTAACAGAGGGACTAGAAGCACAGTGATTCACTCTGCAAATATGATCGCACTCCACGCTGGCCCCAACCCCAAGCCAGTCTGGAGGGGAAGACAGAGTCAGGAAGAGAAGAGACTCCAGCCCAGTGTGGTTGGGGAGAGACACAGTGCCAGGGGGATCTCAGAGGGGGACGCCTGCCTAGGGGGTCAGCAAAGGCTTCTCAAAGGAGGAGACAAAGGAGCAGGGATTTGAAGAAAAAGCAGAACCAGCCCTGATACTTCCAGGGCCTGGGATGGGACAGAGAATGGAGCGCTAGATTGAAACAGGAGAGGGGAAATTCGAGACCTTTCGGAGAGGTTGTTAGAGGTGGAGCTTAAAATAATAAGTAGGAATTTCAAAAGGAAAGAAACCTTGCTTGAGCCCAGGGGTTCCAGGCTGCAGTGAGCTGTGATTGCGCCACTGCACTCCTGCCTGGGTGACAGAGCCAGGCCCCATCTCTCTATAGAAGTAAATAAACAAACAAGTAAAAGGCATGCCCAGCAGGAAGAACAGCTGATTAAAAGCACAGCTCGCTGTTATGATAGGTTTCTGATTCCCTTTCAATCTAGGGACTGGGACATTGCAGCTGGGGTTTTGACGAATGTGTAGGAGTTGGCTAACATTTGGGGGCTTTCGGGAAGGTAGGTCTGAGAACTGGGAGCACTCACATCGAATATCTGGGGCATCTGTGAAAAATAGAAGTGGGCTTGGTCTCGGTTGAAGCGCTGCAGTTGAGCTGCATATTCGTTTTTGCTTTCTTCGGCCATATGACTCCGAAGGTGGGCTTGCTGCTTGGCCTGAGGAATGAGGAGGTGGAAGGTACTACCAGGTTCTGGTCACGTCCCACCCAGACCCCCTAAGCTTGTCCCAGACCCCGCCACCCCCTCACATACCTTCTCCACGTCAGCCTTGGTGGCGTTGATATCCTGGTCTAGCCGTTCAGCAGTCTGGGCTGCCTTCTCTGCCTCCCGGCAGTCCCGCTCAAATTTACGCTTACTCTGTGTAGGGGACAGAACCAGAGTGAGGGAGCCACCCTCCCAAAGACAGCAGGGTGGGAAACCAAGGTTTCAGGGATTGTTGGGATGTCAACCAGTAAGTAGGGGACAAGGGCGTACTGGAAGCCTATGGGGCAGGGAAGGTCCAGGTCTGACAAAGAGGGCAGGTCCCTGACTCCAGGATCCGCAACCCTGACCCCCGTGCCTCCGGGCCACAGTCACTGCCACCTCTGCAAACTCACATTCTCCAGCTGTTTGAAGCCGTTTTCCAGCTGCTGCTGGGCCCGCCGCCCTTCTTGGAAGTGCTACAGAAAGAAGAGCGATAAGGCTCGCCAGGGTTCCAGCAGGAGCCCTTTGCAAAACCTGAATCGGAGGGGAGTTCCTCACCATCTTCCTCTCCTGTTTCATCTCTTGTGAGTACTTGGTCAGCTCAAGACACACACGGACACTGAGGTTCTCGGCCACCAACTCCCTCTGGCCTGCAAAGTCATTCACCTCCTGGAGAATCTGTACGAAGGACTGTTGCTGGCTGAATCTGGGGTAGGATGAGAATCGGGGAACAGGGAGTCAGGCCCCCCAAATAGGCTGATGCCCCAGGACGCACCTCCAGGTGGAAAAGGGTTAAGCCCCAAGAATTTAATCCTTGAAGCAATGACAAGTTGTGGTCCATATTCCTTAACCCCAACCTTTGAGTAGAATTTTTTTTTTTTTTTTTTTTTTTGAGACAGGGTCTTGCTGTCACCCAGGCTGCAGTGCAGTGGCATGATCGCGTCTCACTGCAGCCTCAAACTCCTGGGCTCAAGTGATCCTCCCACCTCAGGCTCCCAAATAGCTGGGACCACAGGCAC